TTATTTATTTTAGTGTTCTGTCTGACGACAGGTCCATATGAACAGGATCCTTCCATCCTTTTCTCGGACTGGGACCTGTTCATATACGTTCTTGGCAGATGATCCAGAAATGGTTTGCCATTGCCTTCTTCTGTGTGTGAATGGAGTAATTGTTGGGATGCCACGGAGAAACCGGGGAAACCCCCGGAGGAAAACTCCGTGTTGCCTAGACCACGGCCTTGCCCAACACAAGTTATAAATTCGGGCACCGCCGGGAATCGAACCCGGGACCCCCCAAGATTAAAATTATCCCATTTATGTAACAAATACTAACCAACATGACGCTAATGCATTCGTTGTTTTTCAATATCGAGGAAACCACTGGCCATGGGACGCTAACACATGGAATATATCGATAATTCTGAAATCTGCTTCCGAGTGTTTACACCAGGATCTCGTATTTTACATGTGGGAACGAGAATTTTTGTTTAAGGAGAGAAGAGCGAAGTATTTGTGTCATTTCTCGTCAGATATGATGAATTCCACGCTGTTTTAACATGTGAATAATTAGGTAAATTCTGTACCTGTTTTAGAGCATTAAGATGGCTGTCTTCCACGTTCTTGGAACCCGTAACCCCGTTCACTTTACAACATTGGCGCCCGGGGCTGCATCGGAAGTTGGACTGCTGGTGATATCAGAATTCCAAATTTTTTTTTGGTTTTTTGCAGTGGGAGGGGTTAATTACACTTACACGGCAGGAAGTTCTTGAATGATGAGATGCAGCTGCAGTTGAAATTTGGCATGGACTGGCCCCATCGCAGGAAGTACAAGACATGAATAGGCGATGCGTAATTTTATCTGCTGATGTCGTCGCGTTTATTTAGGTGAAGCTAGTTTGTACGGCCCTACTGAGGGAGGTGGCGTCGGAATGCGTGTTATTCAGTCAGATTCATTTCAATTTCCATTATCATAATCCTTAACGATTAGGCCCAATGACCTGTAAACATGTAAGCCTGAAAACCAGCTCTGATGAATTCACGTGTATTGCTTTGTGGAATTTGTGTCCGCAAATGCTATTGTCAAATGTCAACTTCGAATTAATTTAACGGATTTTTGTATTATAAAGTAAATGAAGCAATTTTAATTTACGAGATTATTTCATCGTGAAATGTATACCTTTATTAAGTCATCTTTAACACTATTTTTGTGAAAATCCCTATGGCGTCCTGTCTAAAACAAAATTGAAATACGAAAGTATTACTTCTAAATTTTGAAGAGTTTTTTGTGATATAGTTGATTTTCAGTATGACAAGTGTCATTAAGTGCATAATGCAGGACACAGGTAGCGAGAGAGCTATTCCCATAACCACAACGGAGTGCATTTTTTTACATTGACAACGTAATCAATATAATAATGTTATTAATGATCTGTGACGTCAGATGTCACCCTTCGTGTAACTAAAGCCTTGTCATATGATCTACATTAGTGAAAGGGTTTCTATTGCACCAAAATTCACATTATTCATTTAATAATTGTCCATGGGGTCTAGTACCAAATCGAATAGTGGTGATGCCAATTTTTACATTTAACAACATTGATCCCTGCAACTATTTCAGGTCTACCCTTAACTGTATGTCACGGCCAATTATTTCCAAACCGCCCCTAGTTCGCTTCTCAGAGATGTTACCACTGTGGAAGAGAATCTGACTTCATATCATCTCAGGCTCGTTCAAAAATAACAATGTCATCTGATGTGTTATGTTCCTTGTATCAATCTTCTAAATGAATGTTGGAAGTTGTAGTAATTTATTTACAGTATTATGTCGAATTTTTAGTATACAGGTCTATTTTAAAAACAGCTATTTTAAGAGAAATTCACAAAATAAATCATATGAGTGGCTCAGTCATTCCTGTTGCTTAAGAAAACGTTCTTGATAGCTCAGTTAGTAAGGTGACTGACTACGGGGTTTGAACGTGTGTTTGCCGTCAAGTGTAGACTCGGCTTTGGGGCTTACCTATCTAGTGGGTTCCCGGGACCCTCGATCGGTTTTACAGCGTTGTGTTTAATGAAGTAAGTACAGGAACACTTTCTTCGCCTTGCCATGTGTTATTGTTTATAGTGTTTTGGAATTGAATTTTGGCATACCAAAGACGTAATTTGTGTGACAGTTCAGATCAAATAGGTGTTTGAGACACAAGAAAGGAGGATTTATTGGGATGGGGGAACGTGGGGAAGGGACAGGACGTCACATAAAGGACAAGGCATTCAGGTATTCTTTTCAAGAAAACGGTCTGTGAACAACTGTTTTATCTTATGGACAGTTGTGATTGTTAATTAATAAAAGGAAAAGAGAGCGTGGAAAGTCTCTTCTTCCCCATTGACAGTACCATTGCGCAGGTAGCATCCATCGTCTGCAATCGTGGTTTTCAATTGTCAGTGAGATATCGAGAGAACATGCTTCCATCTCTCACACCACACGGTAATCGAGTCGTATCGTGTTAGTATATGGTATAAGGTCTTCCCACTAGATGGCTGTCTTGTGTAGACAAATTATTAAAAGTCGATATCATATGCGTATCGTGGATAAGTAGTGGTCGATATTTTGTTTTTTTTGTTTGCAAATAAATGCCTCTGTCTGTTATACTGGTTATGCTTGTGGTTTGACAGTATCGTGTATTTATACTTAAAGTCTTGAAAGCAGGAAGTCGTTTGTAGTTTTACATACAGCAATGTTACGAGCTTAAATATGGAGTTAGCAAGCGGGATATAAGTTATGAATATGTAACATTCTTTGAATATTGTGGCAATATTATACGTCATGGCTAATGCCTACATGGTGTCAATATTTATTTTTATACTTGTAGGACACTTGGTTTCAGCTGGATTTTACGCTGATGATAATATGTGTTCTGATGAAAACGCAACATGCACTTCAGAGGTTAATTGTGCCATATAGTCTCATCATGATGTAACAGCATTTGTATTATCTTGTGCAGTGTTTTAGAGAAATGAACACAGTGAACCATGATTCAGGGTCACAATGCATTTATCACGCGTTGTCATAACACGAGACAAATTTTAGTATTTTTAACTTCCAGTTCTTGGAGCAAGAGTTCAGAAATTTCCTCTCTAACAATTGTCTGATAAATGAAGTGTTTTTATTTATTGATGAAAGAATTTAATCTATTATGTACAGTTTATCACATTCAGATTTTTCACTTTTGTTTTTCAAAGGATACTGATATTTATTAAAAAATTATTATACTAATTACTGTACATGAAATGTTATAGCCTTATCTTGAGTATCTGTATTATGTTTTGGCAGAACTTTCCTACCATATATGGATTATCAGTATTTGCACAGAGTAAAAGATGCTGTTATTATACTATAAAGCATGACAGTATGGAGACATAAGGTATTCCTTCTGTAAAATTCTTTGTCTTATATTTAAACTTCCATCAGAACATGTACCAACATTATGTAATGTTGGTAGCAGTTGCTGACCTCACATGGCATAGTCACCAGATTTTGTATCTGATTGTATTCATTTTTAATTCTTTTGCTTGACAACATCACCTCCCAGAATAAAATACTGATGACTATATGCAGACATACATGTCATTAAAATTTGCCATATGATTGTAATCTAATATAGAGTTCCATAGTTATGACATTTTCTTTGGACAATATTAATTTTTTATGTTAAATTCTAATTTACTTATTATTTTATTTGCAGTTCTCATATACAACAACATATTTCAATTGCACTGTGGTGCCAGTTTCTCAGTCAGGTAAGTTTACATGAAAAATTAGCAAAAGGAAGGTAAGGACATTGTACTCTTTTCTGTATTGAATTAGGGCATATTTTCAGCAAAATTGTAGGTTATTTAAATATTCTGGGCATTTGGTGTTTAATTTCCTTTTAGAGTGAGTTAAAATCAAAGTACAATGTTTAAGTTAAATAGAATTCAGAGCTAGTTGATTTCATATATATATGATATATATGTTTGTAATATTTGTTGAAGAATTCTAAACATACTGTCTGATACTTTTATGTGATTCATTCTGTAGATATTTTTGATATTTTTTACTCATGAATGCACTAATTAAAAATTAAAGTGTAATTATTTTTAGATGTGTTACAATGTAGAAAACCCATCTGTTGGGCCTCCTGGTTGAACTAGCTGGAAACGTCCACATCTGAAGTAAAATATAGTTTCTGAATTGCAATTTTATAGCATTTAGATGATGGACAAAGTTCAAAAGAAAAATTTAACACAATGATTTATATTGTAATCTGTCACCATTTTAATTGTGTTTTATAAGGTAGTTGTTAATATCTTACAGAATGTGCTAACTGGACATTTAATGATGATTCTTACATTCATCTTGGCTCAGCTAAACTGGAGGCATATCCATACATAACCTCAGGTCGTGTACAAACAAACATCAAACTTACGTTGTCAGATATCAAGTTGACATGTGAGTAGACATCATTTACTTAAATTCAGAAGAATTGTGAATTTCACATTCCTGTGGTATTCAGTCTTCTCTGTAGTAATATCTTATAGTAATTTTTAGTGACATTTTCCTAGAGGAACAGTGGAGAACCATGAGAAACCTCAGTCACAATGGCTGGTCTCCAGGACAAAACTTGAACTTGGGACCTCCTGAATTTGAAGCAAGGGTGCTAACCAATTGTTAATGTTGTTTGGTCATGCATATTTATGAATACTGGTACTTTTAAATGTTTTCATGAGCTGCCATGCCTGATAAATATACATTCTTTCAGAGGTTATGTCTCATGACAGGAATCTTTACTGAACAAATGGTTATGGAAACCTGCTGCAAACTGATACTGCTATAGCCAAGTGTTTTCCAAGGCCCTCTGGAAGAGACAGATGAAGTTTTAGTGTAGGTTTTGGCAAGTTAACAGTGCAGTGATCATTCTGTTCAGCTGTGAGACAACTAGTATATTTCACATGGCACATTACAATTTATGCAGAATTTCAGACTGAGAATTGTTGATGTTATGAGGAACTGTGTGCACTGTTCTGTATGTTCATTGTAAAGAAATGAAATGTTACTGTATACCACTTCTGAAAGTGCATGGGGATGTGTAGGTTAAAGATAGAATCAGTTGAATGACCAACTGTTATCTTTACCGCTGCTTCTGCTTTGTTTTGATGATGGTTTGTTTCCTTCCAATCAGCATTGCGCTTTAGGTTTCAACAACATGGGAAGAAGGAAAATAGTTTTTGTCGAGAGTTCCGTTTGTCATCAAATTATAGCATTTCAGAATTGATATACAATTGCGGATGGCTGCATAAAGAGTATGAGGGCACTGTATTCGGTCTCGAGTATGAAGCCTATGAACGAACTTTCAGAGAGGTCAGGAAATATGTTTTCCAGATTCCACTTCTTGAACACATAGGTAAGAAAAGGTACACTATCAAATTATTGGTGTCTGAACACTATCTATCTGTATCCGATCAGAACTTCCAGATACTGTGTTTTAGAAAAAGAATCAGTATTCCTAAACTAATACCCAACCCATCCTATCCCACTTCAGCCTCAGTCTTATGCTATATTTCAGACAGAGTACTCAACGAAGACGAGTGTCTTCTGAGATGCTCTACCATGTGGTAGAGACTGTTTCAGAGGTGCTTATTGCCTCTCATTGCTGTGATGTTAGAGGCAGCAAGCACCTCTGAAACATGGCACATCGCAAAAAACAGTCATCACCATACTCACTGCCTCGAGGACCTGAAATTTCCCTTTTTATTTCTTCTTTATTTAGGAAGATTCACCAGGATACAAGACTGGATTCCATTTTTGTATGTTGATGTCTCCGAGTTGCCATTAATGACTGCAAAATGGCAACATGCTCCTCCCTGGATTGATGCTTTGAAGTACAATGTGGCAGTATACAGTAATAATGAATTGAGGGAAAATGAAACTTATGAAGGCCCATTTCCAATGGCTTCAGAACTCCATTATTTGTTTTATCCTAACTCTGTTCCTGGAACGTATCACTTTGAACTGGCCATTATTAGTAACAGCTGTGATTCTAATATCTGTCATATATCCAGATCTCCAGACATTGTTGTAGGTAAGTGCAGTAGCTGTTAATTTGGATTAATAAAAATATTATTTATACCACATCTCTTGGGTAGAAGTTAAAAATCACATTTTTAAATTATGTACGCTTTCGGCATGTTGTAATTGTTGATGATTTCAAAAGAGAGTCACACATGTACCCAGTTTATAACATGGATTTATAGATGTATATAATCTGGTTTCTGATCCAGGGCCATTCATGTTGAATTTGTCACTGGATTTATTGAATTACCACTCGAATGTTCAACCATTTCTTTATCACCGTATGGAGTAATGATGAACAAGATGAGTGAAATACTTTTGTCAGAAATATAAAGGCGTTACATATTTAATTACATAATGTTTCTTACATGAATTAATTTAATTGTTACTCCTTTGAAGGTCTGCATTATGTGAATGGCCCCAGAAGTGGCAGCTATGGTATTAAATGTAAAGCAACGTGTTTTCAGGTGTTCATAATACTGAGAAGAAGACTTTGGTAGTTGGTATTGTTGGCTGTGTGATTCTCATTCCCCTCTTGTTGCTCATTTCGCACATGTGGAGGAGGCAATGTCGGTCTCCAAATGGTAAGTTAATGGCATAGTGTTGATTTTTATTATTTATATTTTGGGTATATACTTTAAACGCAAATAACTGAATACACTTTTTTTTTAGGTAGTATTAAGTTGCCTGCAGTGTTGATTGTTTACACTCCATCACGTGCATCCCATGTTGAAGCTATGGTGGCATTAGCAGAGTACTTGAGGAATTACTGTGCTGTTGAAGCACTTCTAGATCAGTTGGATGTTCCAGAAACAGAAACAAAGGTAGTGGTACTATTTATAAAATGGGCTAGGCACACAGCTTGGTTGGCTGAAACAAAAAAACCATAACCTATATGAACGAGAATGCTTAGAATATAGGGTACTTGTGGGTTATCGGGACACAGCGCTTTAAAAATAGGTTAGGTTAGGTTAATGTGTGTGGATAAATGACATATACTTGAAAGTTATTATATTTTATTTCAATAAATGACAACTAACCTAACCTAACCTATTTTTAAAGTGATGTGTCCCAATAACCCACAAGTACCGTTCAATATAATGCAGAAAAAAGGAAAATATTGAAATTTGTAGCCACTGATGAGTTGAACGGTCTATATTATGTAAATATTCTTCATATAAATTATTTTATGTAATTATTAAGTACTAAAGTGAATTTGAATGTGCATAGGCCTGTACAAAACAGGTGTATTTGTAATAGGCTGTGTTCTTTTGCCAGCCTTTTTTAATGTGGTGAATTTTTTTAAATGTTTGATTATATTTTGTTGAGGAAAATATGGTATTCTAGAAGACTGATAATAACAGACAGTAATATATATTATATGTTTTTTACTGTAATGTATTATTTTGTGGTCTGCAATCATTAATTTAGTTTATGTTTATTTCTGTTTAGGATCCATTTGCATGGTGCAATGGCGCATTCACTCGAGCTGATTTTGTAATGGTTGTTTCTTCACCACCCAAATGCTGCAATCAGGAAGGGGCATTTGGCAATGTGAATGTGGATGTTTTGCAAATTTTGAAGGAAAGATTCTCCAGTTGTAGCTCCAGACCTTGTTTCTTCAATATTTTGCTGCCATATTGCACAATTCAAGACATTCCAGATGAGGCAAAGAATTTCAAAATGTTTAAGTTGTTCAAGGATTTGGACAAAATGTTATGGCATATTCATAATGGTGGTAAGTTTATTCCTGCTATAGATTCAGTATGTATCCTTCTTGGTCCTAAATTAAATGGAGGTAAGTATGATTTGAACACTAAAGGAATAGCTTTGCTCACAGCTTTTAAGAAAGCAGATGATGATTTATTAAGGGTTTGTAAATGCCAGAACAATGTTGAAGTGGAAGATGTACCATTGCAAACTCTTACAGGCTATGGTGAATGTGTGGACTCTGTTGGAGATCCTCCTAACCCAACTAGTCATGAGTCACATAATGAGGATGTCTGAAATTCTACATTGCTTTAAATTTTATCAGTACCTGAGAGTGGTAGATGTTTATCAGTGAGGAATTGTGTTCAAAGAAGCTCAAGGTTATAACAGAGAATTTATTTGGGGGGGGGGGGGGTTACACCAGAACTGTGTTTGACTATTAAGATTCTTGTGCTGCATCTGTAATTGACAATATCTTCTTGATGCTGCACACTAAAAAAAAAGAACAAAAGAATTGAATTTAAATAAGTTATGTTGCTTTGTAAGAAACCTCAGCCTCCTTATTAAATGTTGTCTTCAAGAGCTTACTTTTTGGCTCATTTAAAAATAGAGATAAGCCTATCTTACCCCCTTCCTAAATGTAGCCTTGAGTTGCTTGGATTAGGTTTGAGGGTGGTGATGGTGTAGTGATAGTGACAGTAGTAGTGGCAGTGGTAACACATGCAACAGTTTTATGCATTCATTGCCATTTCTAGTCAGAATTCAGTTCAGGGGAATAATTCCTTGTCTACTTATGTAGGTCTCATAGTGAATTTTGTCGATACCTCTGCAAGGTGGACAAGCACTTGTCACTCCCAGACAGTAGTCCACACGCTACAATACAGTTTGTACATTCTTAAAGCACTGTGCAGTAACCATAACACAACTTTTATCACTAACTAGCATTTATTTGCAATGTATTATGCCAGACATTTTTCAGTGGCTCTGTGTTTAGCTCAACTTTACATGTTAAAATGTATCATCCTAAACATTGTAAAATTTCACAATTAAGTCCTGTTATACATTAAAATCACAATTAAATATTTGATAAATATAATATAAGGAAAGTATATTCAAATTACAGCTGTCTTCAGGCTTTCTTAGCTGTTAGTAGCTAATTATCTTTGTTTGAGTTAAGACACTTCATTATTGTGTTGGTTTTCTGAAAGAGCTTACTAGCTTACCATAGCAAGGTGTCATCATTAAATTACTACTACTATCTTGAAACAAAAATATCAGTTTTATTATTATTATTGTTGTCATTCTGACTCTTTAATTCATGGAATGTGTGTATGTATATTTATTTATTATTTATTTATCTATCTATCATGAAAGTTTTTTGGGAAATGTAATGAATAGTTGAGTTGATGAGATTGTTGTGTATGTTTGACATGTACCAAATATATTTTGAGGCCTAGTTGACAGTTTCATGAAATTTTTAATTACATAGTGTTGTTAGGAGTTTTCTTCAGCAGCTGAGTTTAATTCAGTTATCTGTACATGTTCATAGTGCATAGTCTCTTTCATGACTATGTTTTTCAGCTGATAGTATTGTACTTATTCTATAATTTCACATATGTTTCAGTTTTATTTATTGCAGCTTACTTTTAAGTGTGTTCTCAAATCTTGGGTTTTTATGATGCAAACAACATTGCCTATAAAGCTAATACATAGTCAGTTTGCTGTTTTTACAGATTAATGTATTTTTACCTGACATCCTGTTAAAATATCCCATTTTATTTTAGCAGTGCTTCTGAATTTGTGTGCAGCAGCACTCTAGATGGCAAGGAACCATGTATGTGTACATATTCTGATATTCACAGTAGATAGTCTGACTCTTTGTCACACTCATAATCTGTCAAAGCATTCTGAACCTTCAGGATTTATGTTGGTAGCACATAAAATTACAGGAACTTAATAGGGTCCTTGTAGAATAGAATTTATTCCATAGTTCCTTCATAGGCCTAAGCCAAGGATGTAGAATATGTCATAGCACAAATACAATATTTGTTTGTGATACAAATTTATATAGTGATAGTGATTTACAGTATTACTGCAAAAATAATTGCATAAGAAGGCATTACCACTATTGCTTATATGTGTGTTATAATTGCTGAGAATTTTTGGTTGAGGTAAATTATTCTGTGAACAGGAGTGTGATAGAAGATTCTCTTTTAGTACCTGTTTGTACTGCTTTTGTTGTGATTCAGACTTTATATAGTAGGAGGGGGGAAGATAATTAAATAGCCTAATTCCAGTATCTGAGTATGAATTTGTTCTCTGCAGAAACAAAGCACAAATCCTGCAAGAACATGAAATAAATTCACCATATGGTTTTGGAGGTTCCTTTATTTTACAGTTATTTTATGTAATATCTCATAAACCAGAAATACAATTCAAACAATGATGAAATTTTGAAAGTGGCTCCAACTATGTTTTAGCATCTCATTTTGTAGAGCATTACAAAACGAGATCATGTACTGTCCCAGTACAAAACTCCTAGCAGATACCCGCTCTCTGGGTCGAGATTTGAACCCGGGACCTTCCAATTACCAAGTATGAATGCTAATCATATATCTGCTTATTTTCTTCAGGCCACAACACGTTTTGAATGAACTCTTTCTTTTTGATTTTACCTAATAAACGAAACGAACTATATATTTTATCGGTAGCAACTTAGATATCGGACTGACACTATGCGAAGTAGCAGTGTCCAGAAAGCACTGTACATAATGTCGTTTAGGTGGGCTTGTTTTGATAATCTTATGCCGCCCTAAGCAATGCGTGGAAATCTGCACGGAGTATGCAAATAAGCCTTCGTATGTATTCCTATGATACACTTTTCCGGCTGTTGCTGTATAACAGTCAGGGAGTTGTTGAATCATATAACCAGTGGAAAATAATTCCATGTAGGGACATATATTTTCCTTTTTAAAGTGTTATTTATATAGCTTTCATCTATAAACTGAATTTTCCGTTTTTTTATTATTGTCGTCTGTGGTATTTTGTGACGTGATCAAGACATGTTCATGATGGTATCTGTTGGAATCTGTGATCGCAGGCATTTATAAAATCCTAGGCACAAAAAAGGAGGAAAGGTTCAGAAATGACTTTTGTACTCGTGGACGTTTTTGTTTTCGCTATGTGATATGGCTCGGTACACAATAGATGTACTTACATTTATATTTATATTTACAAGCGACTTTGTTATAAGTTGCAAATCAAATCACGATAGGCCTGAGTATTGCAAGGATGAAAGCGTTACCTGTAGGTCTCAGGTAAGTAATACATGTCAAGATTTCTATTAATAGCGTAGAATAGAGTTAAATTAAGGTGAAATTGAGGTTAGTGTTTGGCACATGAAAGTTTTCGTAATATATGCAAATGATTTACAGCCAACCATTAACTCTCAGTCTAAACACATGCTTTTTGTGGATGATACTAATACTGTTTACAAATTTGCATGAATGATGTCATTGTTAGCTTGAACAAATTGATTAAAGCCAATAAACTCTAATTATATTCTGGCAAAACAGATTTTATGACTTTTGTGTTCATAAATTTTTTGGTTTACAAATTGACTAACCTAAATTGGAAAACACATATTCAATACATTATCCATAAACTTACTTAATATCTGAGATAGTTGGTTAATAATTCTTTTGGTGCTTTATGCTACTTTTATATTCTCATGCACATTGACAGTATTTACGGATAATGTTAAAGATTTCACATTATTGTCTGTACCACAGAAAGTATAAATATGATGTTTTTTCCATCCTTTTTTACAGTTAGTAACCTTTCCAAATGCCTCCGACTGTGTGATAGAAGCTCTAGGAGGTATGGTTGTGTTTGATTTTTGTTTATACTGGAAGAGTGGGGGTGAGACAGAAATTTTGTTATAATTAATAAGTGGTAAATAGTAAGTGATAAAGTTAGACATAATGAAGGAATTAAATATATGACTAGCCAGAGCTAAGTTGAAATATTGTTTTCTGAATGCACCAGTTAGTCCTATTCCAAATTCTTCATTATCAACCAAATGGATGGAAGATGTTTGGGGAGACCATATAAATGCTCAAAGGTTGATGGTGATGATAGTGATAGTAAAAGATGTTTCCAGAGTCTACTGGATGAATGATTGTACTGTGACAAAGATGAAATCTTTATGAAAATTAAGATTTTTTGGTGCTTATATTGGAATTGAGGAAAACAAAACTAGTTCCAAGGTTTTATATTCAGTGAGATCCAAATTTAAACTCCCAGATTGTAGATTGTTGCATAATTTAATTGTTTTATGATATCTTAAAATCTGGCAAATACTGGAATGAGGATATGTTGCTAAATGAATGAGGACACTAAAGCAAGTGGTAAGAATATTATGTGTAGGACAAGTTTGTTATTGATAACAAAAGAAGTAAACTATGAAGTAAGAAAGTGAAAATAGTCAGTTGTCCAAAAATATAGTAGTGGAGTTAAGATAAAGGAAAATTTATGTAGATTTGAGAAACCCAAGGACATTTTGTGACCCTCCGTAAGACTATAGATTAATGTAGCTTATTGCTTTACTACTCTGTGTCAGAAGCTGTTGGTGGTTTGAGTTTTCTTCGTATTGTATTGAAAGTCACTGAAAAATACTAAGTTGTTAATTTTTTGTAGCTTGCTCTGCATGGACATTTAGCACTACCCTTGCCACTCATCCTGCATTAGTCAAGCTCCTAGCAGTTCCACAGTGTGAAGAGTCACGAGGTTTTGCTATTGTGAAGATTTTACTAACAGATGTCAAATGGACCAGTAAGTAATTTGCCTTTAATTTGTTCATTTTTTAAAAATTATTTTGCACAGACTGTATGTGGGGGCTTCTCCACTGATTAGGAGTCAGTGAAGTTTATCTCTGGTATCTAAACATGGATGTACATACCAGAAGACCAACATCAACATTTTCACAGCTGTAATAACCTGTTCACATAAGATTTCATATGGTTTCATTTTTGAATGTTGCCAGATTTATCTTTTCAAATACAAAACCCTCAGTTTCTTTTATATGGAAGATGAATAAGTAACTCTTTTAATAATTTATTTTATTGATTAAACCTGATTTTGTTTATGTTATGGATATTTCTGTGGAAGAGAGAAGAATGTATATCAAATCTAAAACTTCTTGACGATGATGAAGAGTCAATTGAATAAAAATTTTCTTGGATATTATCCATCGTCTAGTAAATATAAAACGTAAAACGACGTTTCGGAGATGGGACTCTATCTCCATCTTCAGGTTCCTACACAGTTGGGCCCACTAGATAGAGCTAATCCCTATTTATTCCCACCTTTTGTGAGTTTTTGTTTTTTTGGCTTTATCGTGTTCATGAATTTTGATTTCTACATACTATTCTTTTACGTCCCATGGATGGATGGTGTGGTATTGCCTTTTTATTCTGGGACTTTCACTTATTACTTTGTCCGGAGATAGGGATTTGCTCTATCTAGTGGGCCCAACTGTGTAGGAACCTGAAGACGGAGATAGAGTCCCATCTCCGAAACGCCGTTTTACGTTTTATATTTACTATACGATGGATAATATCCAAGAAAATTTTTATTCAGAGAAGAATGTGATAACAATGGACTTGGAATAGATTTGTTTTTTCACCCAAAGACATAGCTACCGACACACTGCTGTAGTTTGTTTCTCCTTCTATTTTTAACAGCCTGGAAAAGATGCAGTCAGTTTTCCATCAAACAAAGCATAATTAGATGGCTGTCTATTGGAATGTAGTGTCAGGTGGTCTGGTAGAAGTTTATTGATGTTTCAGAGTTTCTGAGGTGCTTGCTGCCTTCATCATAAGGTGATGAGTGACTCAGACTACATGATACTACACCTACTGCCATGAAAGCCTGAAATCTTATCAAGCATAATTAATTTTCATGTTTACATATTTGATACAAGTGATTCTAAATGACGTATGTTGTCCATAAACTTGCCATGTAAAGTTATTATGGCTGGATTTTGTGTGTTAATGGAAATTAGCACTTGTCATGTCACACATGAACATTTATTAAGGAAAATTAAACCATTTTGAATGCATCATCATATTTGATTGTAGCATTGTTCCCTTGCATGTCTCTTATTTGTCTCTTATTTTTTCTAGCTCTGAGGTTCAGATATACAGAGTATCAAAATGAAAGCAGAACCTTCTGCAGAAGGTTCACAGTGTCTTCACAATACAGTATTCCTGAATTATTTTATGACTGCCGTTGGACAGATGACCTTGATCATTACAAAATTTTTGTTTTTGAATATGAAGCTCAAATGGAATCTCACAGAGAAGGTGGGAAGTATTGGTTCAAACTTCCAGGTTATAGTGAATTAGGTAAGGAAGTTGCTTATCAAGGATGTTAACAATTTAATTATTTTAAAGAAATAAGGAAATGTTTTATTACAAACAATACTGTACCTAATGACTTAACAGCATAGATTGCACTGCCCTTCACTTTGTAAATTTTATCTGCTTACACTGTTCACTCCTCACTTCTGTTTATTTTCAGATTTGACCAATACAAACAATTTATCACAATGGTCCCCATTTCTGTATGTTGATGTTTCTGATTTGCCTTCTCTCACTGTAAGATGGCTACAAGCTCCAAAAAGTTTTGGTGTTCAAAAATATGAATTGAAGGTTCATGACAATGATGAATTGAAAGAAACAAAAGTATTCATTGGCACAGAACAAGAGGAAATGAGTTACACCTACAGTGAATATATCCTTGCATCTGGAAAATATAAATTTGAAGTACGCATACTTAATGATTACTGTGAAAATGGTGCATGCCCTGTGTCAGAATCTCCTGTTATAATTGTCAGTAAGTATGATGGTCGTAATTAGATGTTTAATGTTTCACTGTGAAGAACTGAATACATTTCAAATGAATGTTTCTAAAGCAATTAATGGTACAAGCCTGGTATTTGTGTGCTACCTTATACCAACTTTTCTTGTAGTGCTTGTGCTGAAAATCTTTGTCAACCATGGAAAGAATTATGTTGTTTATCTTTTTCCTTTGACTTGCTTTATGTTCTGAATACCCTTTTCCCAGGTCATCTAGTATGTTGTTTATCTGTCATATGTTCTCAGGGCAGCCTTAATTTTTCTCTACATACATGTTAAAACTATGTGATATGTTCAATTGTTTCTTTTAGAGGCTTTATCTGTAGTTTCTTATTGTCCTGTTACTAATTGTATTTTTCTTAAATATCTTATTTGTGTTTATTACAATTGGCTTAGATGTTTAGTTAATGTCCATCAGAAGAAAATTAACCTCTCAGTTGTGATTTACATCATAAATCATCTATGAAGTGATGCGTTCCATAGCATGCTTAATGTCCTAAGTTGTTCTAGCCACAAACTTAAGAAACTGCTGTGAAAAAAAAGCCCATAGCATGCATAATGTCCTAAGTTGTTCTAGGCACGAACTTAAGAAACTGCTGTGAAAAAAAAGTCAATCTCTAAAGGGAATGGTGTAGGCGATGCTTGAAGGGTTAAACAGCATGTGTTGCAGTGCCATTGGTTTGTTTAATATTTTGAAGTTGGGGTTTTATATTCACTTTATAGCTTTCTGGAGGGAACTTGGTAGTGGTGTTTGAAAAATTATGAAGATGCTCTTCCATCATTCACTGTAAGTTCTGTAAAACCTTTGAAATAGACACTGAAAATTATAGGTAAACTTTCTCATATTGTCTGTTTATTTGCAAGAATTTGTGTTTACTGTAAATTTTTGTTTTGGACATACGTGTTCCCATTTGTTATATGTAAATACTATAATAATATCGTCAAACATTAATAATTAATTGGAAATGAGAGGGAATTTGTTTGGAAATGGTACTTAATTTTTGTTATGGCATAAAATGATGAAACTTTCTTTCAGATGGTTATCATTATCTGATTTTTGTGACTTATCATGTGAAAAATGAGATGATGATGAAAACAATTTTACTTACAGATGTTTCTACTAAGAAGGTATTGGCAGTAGGTATCATTGGCAGTTTAGGTCTTATATGTATGTTGACGGTCATCCTGTATTCATGGAAGAAATTCAAACTGCCAAAAAGTAAGTTATGGAATGTTCAAAAACTTGTTCACCTGACTAACTCCATGGAGCAGAGTCCTTGAGAAGCTAATAATATGCTCACCTAGTCAAGAAATTCCCTGTTTTATGGAACCTGAAGTTTAATTACCATGTTCATGAGACCCCACCACTGGTGTTAATTACCATGTTCACGAGACCCCACCACTGGTCACTGTGCTGAGCCAGATGAATCCAATCCACACTCTCAATCACCAAATGCCATGGTCAAGTGGTTAACTCTCCTGCTTTGTATTCAGGAGGTCCTGGCTTCAAATATTGACCCAGAGAGTGGCTATCGTGACTGGGATTTTTTGTGTTTTTCCTTATTCAGGCCATGATCACTTCCTTCTCATCCTTTTCAATTCACTAACACCCTCTCATTTGACACTATACAGTCTGAGCTACTGAGAAACTGTCATTAAATAAACTATAAAAATAAAACACCCTCAATTGTATGCATTTCTCACCTCACCAATGTATGCTACATGCGCAGCCCATCTCATGCTCCTTCACTTGATCACTGTAATAGTATTTGGTGAAGTCTGCAAATTATTTAACTCTTCATTATCCAGCTTTGTCTGGGCTCCTGTCACTCCATCCTTCTTTGGTCCAAATATTCTTGTAAGCACTATATTTTTGAACACTCAATTTGTGGTCTTCCCTTAATGTGAGAGACCAGGTTTCATACAAAACAGCAGGTAACATTATAGATTTATATATTTTAATCTTTAGTTTTAGACGTCAGACAGAAAATGAACTGCATGGTAGTAGGCTTTATCCGAATTGCTTGCTCTTAATTTCCCCGTTAATTTAATTTTGATTTGGTAACATCAGTCCCAAATACAGAATGAGCACAAAACAACTTTACACTTTCAGAATGATACAGAAAACAAATCTGGCATATTTGTATTTGAATTCTGCCACATTTTCAAAGGATTTAGTAACTACCTTCATATAATGATTTTGTTCTGTAGTCTGGTGACAACAAATGAACATATACTCAGTTTTCTCTGTGTTTACTTCTAGACAAACTTTATTATTTCCATCTTTCAGTGGGTAAGTAGATATGAGTTATGCCTGAAACTCTGTGCTTAATTCCCGTTGTTTTGCAGATATTAAACCACCTAAATTACTGGTTATCTATACTCAGTCCAATGCATCTCATATAAAAGTTGTGGAAGAATTAGCGAAGTACCTGAGGAAGTACTGCTTTGTTGATGCACTATTGGACCAGTTGGATATTCCAAAAACACAATCAAAGGTACCGTGATAATTTTCCTCTTACATCGTGGAATCTGATAATGTATTTAAAACGTTGTGCTGTGATTAGATCTGATGTGCTGGGTCAAGAAACAGATGTATGTTGTGGCACTCTTGAAATATCTGGATTGAAAGTAATGTTCTTTGAGATGGTTGGTTTTGGAGATGACATAATCTATAATTTGCCATTTTCTTGTAGGATCCATATGAATGGTATAATGATGCTTTTGTTCATCTTGATTTTGTAATGGTGGTTTCTTCTCCACCAAAATGCTGCAACCAAGGACTCTACAGAGATGTGGATATTATTGCCTTCAATTTCTTGAAGGCTAAGTTTTCTGACAGATGCCAGTTTTTTTCTGTCTTGCTGCCATATTGTACTGAACTAGACATTCCAAATGAAGCAAAACATTTTCAGAAGTTCAAATTAACCAAAGATTTGGATAAGATGTTATGGTTCATTCGCAATGGTGGTAAGTTCCCAACCTTTATGGAATCGGCATGTGCTTTACTTGGACCTAAAGTACGTGGAGGTGAGTCTGATTTGGAGTTAAGTGGTATAAATTTGCTTAAGGCTATGAAGCTGGCAGGTGATGACTTACTAAAAGTCTGTTGCCACAAAAATCTGAAAAATGAGGGAAATTCTACTAGTGAAAAAACAAGGCTTCAGATGTTAATCCATCCAGCACAAGATGTAACAAATAGTAGCCCAAAATTGGTACAGCAGTCAAGAGATGTTTCTAAAATGAACCCTCATGCAGAAATGAATTACGAGGACTCGATGGAAATTTCCTTGGATTATTTAGATCTGTCAGGTCCAGACACATTATACCCAGAATCATTAAGTAAGCGAAGGGATGCTGATCAAGCAGTATGTGATCTTGACACTTTAGCATTGTAGGAGGACTGAATTTGCTCATGTGATTGGGAGAGACCATCTTATGTTTTAACTTAAATTCTAATTCTAGGGGCCCATTTTTCCCTGTATTTTGAAGGAAGAAAGTTTCTGTTTTGGAATCTTATTAAAGGTCTGCATGTTTCTATCTCCAGTCTCAGTTGCAAACATTCATATCATGGTTGATCAATTTCCATGAAACTAGATTTCATCTTGCTAGCTTTAAGCTTTGTGCAGTGAATAGTAAATACCATTCTACAGTCATGTGAACTTGCGTGTTAGTCATTCCATGTAGGGACTTTAAATATTGTGATATTGTGAAGAAATATTTAGATTTGTTTGATACATCTGATTATCAAAAAGACCATGAACTGCACAAGAGTGTAATGGAATTAGCTTTTATTGGTCTTTTTTGAATAAGTATTATTATAAAACTGATGATAATATTTGAAAGGGATTTAAAAATGTTTATTAAATAAAGAAATTTAATTATAAGACTAAAAAGTGTATTTCAGAAAAATGACTTTTTTTCAGTAAAAAGGTAACAAGGAGCAATAAACATGTATGTACAGACGAATAAAAGTTGGAAAGATGACATAAGGTATTATCAGAAGAGAGGTAAATAGTGACACAATATAATAAAGAGCCTTCCTTGCAACACAGAACATTCTGTAGAAAGCATCAGTTTCTCTGGATGAAAAATTCTTGTATTGCTGTTGGCAATTGTTTGCTTTTACCCCCATTAAATAAGTTAAAAAGACGTCCCCATGTGTCGAAGAATTTTACAACATTCACAGTGCATTAGAAATTAGAGTTTCGTAATTTGATTATTTTGGCGTTTTGGTTTCCTCCTCTTGACACAGTGGAGATATAAATGGTTAGCAGTTGATAAACAGTTTTAGGACGAGTAAGACACGTGTTTGAAGTATTTTCACTTTTTAATCTTAAAAGTGGCAAAACATCCCAATTTTTACTTCAATCTTCCTACTATTTCTTGAATCTACCTCTGACATGCGTGCCCGACCGCAGTCTCATTTCAATGTAAGAAGTGAGGTAAACTGTATTATCTGTGGGTAAACTTGCTATGATGTCGTTGATGAAATACTCAGGCTACGAGCCTCGTCAGGTGGCTGAATGGTGAATAAACCATATTCTCTGCCAACGTTTTCTGTTCGTTGCCCGCTATTCATTTAAATCTGTTGAGGTGGGGTTTAGCGTATGAACGGTGTGCAGTCAATGTTAAGAAAAAAAAAAACAGGGTCTAGAGATATGTGTTTGGAAGATGTTTGAAACAGTTCGTACTTCCTGTCAAAATGACGGCTGGTGTGAAAATGTATTTTCGTGTGTTGGGAGTATTAAGTATTTTCGCGATTGTTGCCCTCGAATCGGCTGCTGCAGCTTTTAGTTACTGCTCTAATGATAGCGTATCCTGCATGACTCAGGTACGTGTAATAATATCAAGATTATTACATTATTTTTAGACATGAATATGTAATCGAAGAAGGCTGTCAGTGTAGTATGCTATAGAATAGTAGCCTGCACTTTAAGAAAATATATTAAACTGGTGGTTTTAGCTGAAGAAAGGCCCCATTGTAATACGGAAGTATGGTCACTGTCAAATTATTACCAGTGAACCCTGAACACAATAGCAGTTCTACTGATTCGGAACTTACCCGTGGGTCAGCAGTATATGCTAATGGGAAATTTTTGTTCTCGTTACAGCTTTTACATCTAAATGCATCTAATTCAGCGTGTATGGTGGTGTCATACTTACAGTCCGGTAAGATAATGTTTTACTGCTGATCAACTGAGAATTGTAATGCCTTGTCAGTCTGTTTTCTTTAGATCATATGGATGCATCAGTTTTTTATTTAATAGTGCTGTTTATTGTATCCACAACGTGGGCCAGAAAAGTAATCCCTCATTTAATACCTGTTAGAGCGGCTGAAGTGAATTGTCCACAACTGCAGGGATGTAATATAGTGAATATGCTTTATTTGTAGTGTATAGCGATTTACAAGAATGGTATGATGTTATACTTCTGACAACTAATTCCAAAAGCAAGAAATTAGATTTGTCTTTACAAGTTTTAACTTGCATATTTGTGTTCAGAAAACTTTGTTTGAAACATATTCTCCATTATCAATATGTGTTCTTGTGAGAGACTGAAGTGCAAAACCATTACCATATTTTTTTCTCAGATTGTGCAAAATGGTCATTTAACGTTGGTGGTTTGTCTCATAACCTTGGCGCAGTGGTGCTGAAGGCATATCCATATGAAGAGTCAGGGTACAGATTATCTGTCTTCAATGTATCATTGACAGATATCAGATGGACATGTAAGAATACCAGTCTAATTCAGTATATAAATGTAATCAGTTACATCCTTCATAGGGTTGATACTTGTGTGTTTAAGGGATCCAATGAATTTGATGACAGTTTCACAATGGTTTTCATCAACAGTAGTAATGGAAACTAATAAGGTGTTTGTAGTGGATATTGCAGGAAGCCACTTTACTGAAGGTGCTGCGTGGGAATGGACATTATCATAATATAAAATCTATTAATTTGGTCAGAATTCTGATATTTTTTAATGAATGTACTGCTGTAAATGTTTTAGAAATTAAAAATTGGAATTGTTGATTGTTTGGAAGAACAGATTTGTAATGGAGGTATCAGTTTGAGTTTGATCTTTGGTTTTTTGACATCAGTGCAATGTACAAACAATGTTTAATACATATGTACCAATTTATGTATGATAATATTGTATGTTCTTTTTCTCCACCAGCTCTGCGTTTTAGGTTCAAACAGAATGGGTATGACAACAAACACTTCTGCAGAGAATTTAATGTGTCTTCAGAATATAGTATTCCAGAACTTTTCTATGACTGTCTTTGGACAAAATCAAACTATGAGGAGACATATTTTACTTTTGAATATGAGGCTCAAACACTGCAGCATACTGAAGTCAGAAAATATGTGACAGAACTTCCCTCTTATAAACACATAGGTATGGGTTAGTGCACTAAAGTAATTGTTATAATTAATTGATTGATGCATCTAATTCAATAAAGCATATTGTGTCTGCTGCCTTGATTAAGAGAGAGTGATGTATAAAGGGCATTTGAAAGAGAGAGAGAGTGGAATGTGAATTGGATTTATAATCTCAGGATGCAGTGAATTTAAATGGTACTGCGAAATGCTTATTTACTTATATTAAAATTTATGTCATTGTGTACTTGGATTTTGTATACCCTTCAAATCTTACTCAGCATGTTTTTGTGTGGTGTGTAAAATTGAAAAGTTGCATATATAATGGCTTAATTTGTATTTAATTTGTAATTTAAGAAATGAGACTTTTCTTGTTTATTAGCAATTTTTGGTGGAACATTAACATTTATTATGTGATTTATGACTGATTTGCTGTTTTGAAAACATTCTTAACTATTTGAAACACTACATGTTAACTCAAACGTAGTGTTATAAGTGTCGTGAAGTAGCATCAGCATTCCGTCTATGTTCAGAAAATTGTGATAAATGGTCAGTAATGCGTTTACTGCCCTTCATCCTATATATATAAGTTCAAAATTTGGATATTTTGTACATTTTATTTCATATCTTACTTGGTGTTTCCCAGGATATGGAGCTATCTCTTTCTTCTTTCAGCGCCAAGAACCGAATTGAAAAATTGGTCACCATTTTTATATGTTGATGTTTCTGAGTCACCAGTCTTCATAGCAAAATGGCAACAGGCTCCTTCACATTTTGGTGTACAGAACTACAGAGTACAAGTGTTCAGCAAGGTAGAAAGCTCAGAAATGAACTTACAGGCTTCAGAAGTGATTCCAGGAGCAAATGAGAACCATGAATTGAGTTATAAGTTTGACGCTTTCCATAGTGGTGACTACCACTTTGAGGTGTGCATACTCAGTAATAATTGTACTGATGGTCTGTGTAAAATTGCAAAGTCTCCATATATAACTGTACGTAAGTATAATGGCTTGAATTACAGAAATTTTGTCTTGTACCACAAATGATAATAACATTTAGGCATAATAATTTCCAGGCATGTTCTTCTATGGCTCTCTGGTCCGTATTCCGTCCATGGCCTCCTCAATTCTCCTCTTCCATTCGGTCCTTCTGTCCGAGGCTTTGATCGAGGTTTCAAAACATTTTCCTTTTTACGGTGCAAGGTTGTTAGCCTTGCGACCAACCCCCAACCTGGAGGACCAGGGTACCTGTCTTAGTCTGACCTCTTCCCCTCGCCCAATCTGGCTAAGGAGGCCCTACCAGTAGCTATGCTACTGCCAGCATAGCTCTTGGGGTCACTGAGGTACTCAAGCCCCACCATCACAACAAGGTTCCAGGAATGTTACTAGATTAATATTTATAATCAGTTTATTGTTTACCATTAAATATTTAATTGATGAATTAATTGTGAAGAAATTATTTTTTTACAAAATGTAGAAGCAGTAAACAAGTTTAATCAAAAGCTTTGCTAAAGATTTTTTTATTTCATTGTGCATTTGAGGGTAACTAGAAACTTATGTCAGTGTGTTGCACTTACAGGTACTTTTATTCCAAAGACACTCATATTTTGTTGTCTGATTCTTCTATCTCTCTTCTTATTTATTCTGTGCGTGTGGAGGAGGCAGCATCATCCTGTAGTTGGTAAGTTATAAACTGCTGTATGAACTGTTGTTATCCTGTCTTTAATTATTTAGATACTGATAAACTGTATAGTACTATTTAAAATTATTCATTGTCAGGATTTTTTCCATCACCTGTTCTTTAAAACCGTAACGTTTCGGAGGCTGGTTCTGTCTCCGTCTTCAGGTGAGAGGTACTTACTCTATTGGGTCCCTTAGATAGAGCTAGTCTCTGTCACTGGACAATATAAATTGTGCAATTATTTCAACTTATCTACCCAAGTATGGGTTCTGTCAGTAGATTATAATACTTAAATGATAAAATAAAAATTATAAGACCATTCACCTCTCACCTGAAGACGGAGACAGAACCAGCCTCCGAAACGTCGTGGTTTTAAAGAACAGATGATGGAAAAAATCCTGATGATGAATAATTTTAAGTGTAATTTACTGTCGTCAAAACCCTTTAGAATTGAATTATATAGTACTATGTTCATTTGTTTTAGAGCATCTTGAATACTTTCTGTACATTGTTATTTCCCATCTTTGCAATTCGACAAGTGTGTTTCTGTGACAAATTTAAGTTCCATTGGCGAAAACCAAACAGATAAGCTGTAAATGTAAAGTTTCTTTCATGTCCAGCGATGGAGACTAACTTTGTCTAAGGTATCCACCAGAGTAGGCACCCATTTCTTCATACCTTGACCTAATGGTGGAGGCAGATCAGTCTCTGAAATATTGTGATTTTTAACAAATAACCAAGATGACATGTTCAAAGCAACAGTGGAGCCAATTGTAGCACCATTGTCAGAACCCTTTAGATTTGCTTTATGTTTTTTGTCATCTTATTAAAAAGTATAAGCATTATAGGTGATAGCATAATCACACAGCTGTATGCAGTGGTGATTTTGTTTTGTGTTTGATTCTGTTCATTACAACGTTATGTCAGTGACTGTTGTTTCTTTCCCCCAGCAGATGCTAAATTACCGGTAGTGTTAATTATCTACACTCCATCCCATGCAGCTCATGTAAAGTGCATGGTGACATTAACAGAATATTTGAGAAATGTCTGTTTTGTCGAAGCACTGCTTGATCAGCTGGATATTCAGGTCTCAGAGACGAAGGTACGAACTGTAAAACGTATTGGCTTAAGTATACTTGTAATAGAGTAATTTAGTCTGTTTCATCTCTTTCTCTCACATTCTTCTTATTGCGCCATCTCCGAACGAAGGTTGGCGATCCACATGGTGAACATCGTCCTCGAGACTGCCGCTTGAAAGATGTCTATTGAGGCGCATCCGAGCCGTCTTCTTAGGTCTTTCATCCAGGAGTTTTGGGGGTCTACTGACGGATCTTTTTCCTTGGATTTTGCCCTCGATGATCAGTCTTAAGATCTCATAGTGTACTCCTCTCATGATATGGCCCAAATACCGGACCTTTCTTTCCTTAACGGCAAGCATCTCTCACATTATCTTGTGTCAAAATATGCAGCTATCATGTAATTTTATGAGGATTTGATAAACATACGTATCAAAGAAAATATCTATAAATACATTGATACAAGAATATTGTTGGATATTTTATATATTCAAGAGAGAATAGTTTCAGTTTATGTTCCTAATATGAGACTATAAATGAAATTAGATTAGTAGCATGTTATTGTTGCTTTTCTAGGTTGTAATCTTCATTGAACGTCCATTTTCAGCTGTACATACACCTCATATGGCAATGTTCACATCTTCACTAGCTTGGTTACTTCAGATCATAGTTTATCATTACAGTAAAACATGTTTGTTATTAGCGATAACTGAGATAATCTCGTTTATTTCTATTTAGGATCCATTCATGTGGTGCAATGAAGCATTCTCTCGAGCTGATTTTGTAATGGTTGTTTCTTCACCACCGAAATGCTGCAACCAAGAAGGGATATTTAGGAATGTGGATGTCATTGCTCTCCACTTCTTGAAGGAGAAGTTCTCTGAACGCAACTCCAGACCTGATTTCTTTTCTGTCTTGATGCCGTACTGTACTGAACGTGATATTCCAGATGAGGCAAAGAATCTTCGAATGTTCAAGCTAACCAAGGATTTTGATAAGATGTTACGGTACATTCATAATGGCGGTAGGTTTCCTACTGTTATGGATTATGCAAGGACGTTACTTGGACCAAAACTAAGAGGAGGTAAGTCTGATTTGAATAGTAGAGGCTGCGTTCTGCTGGCAGCTATGAAAGAAGCTGAGTACGATTGCGTCAGAGTTTGTAATTGCAAGAAACTGGAAGTTAAGGAGAATGATGTTAATGGCATTCAGAATACAAGATATCTGCCAAAACTTTTGACTTCAAGCGAGGAAGGTAACGAGCTTGGGAGGAATATGTGTGGTAGCGACTCCACAGACTATTTGTGTGAGAGTTCTGAACCACTTGATGTTGAATTACCATTTTTGTTGGATGATTTAGACCTTACAGGGACTGCGCAGATGAAGGTAGAGCCAGTTAAGAACAGTGAAGCTCTACTTTCAGGGGTTGACCTAAATTCTATGAAACTGTAGAAAAATGATTTTTCATGTTTTGGTAAAAAGGTTTGTTACATGAATGGTAGTCTAGATTTTTGTGTTTATAGAAGTGTTTAACTTCACTGCTTGGATAAGTCAATATTTTGTACTACTATCTCAAGGCTCTCCATAATATCATTTCCACAGTAATTTTTCTTTTAACTGCACACCATTATCAAAGGGTTTAAAAGGAAAAACTATGACATTTTCAGTCTCACTTGATGTAAAAAATAAAGGAGATTATGTTGTGTGCTGAAATGATCACATATTCATAGTGGAAAATGAGATTCATGGTGGTGAAGATTAACGTTAGTAAAGCCATGAAACTTTAAGGAGTTTCTGTACTTCTTTTATCCTTAGCAGACATGACATGTTTAAGAAAGTTAAGCCACTTATTAAGAGTTGTACCCAAAAGCATTTGTTAAATGAAGTGTGCCAAATTACAGGTACATGTGATTCATTTCATACATTAGTTATACAGTGTCCACATGAATTCTCCCCCATTAACAGATTAAATTGGGAGGGAGCTGCAACTGTGGTTTGTGGCGTTCTATGGAATAACTCAAAAAGTTTTACTTAGTACGCTTAAACATGATCTCTGTTAGTAGCTCTCAGGATATCTAAGCAATATTTGATTTCAGCCCATGTGTTGTTCAGCATGTCATGTGATGATTTGGATGACATCCGTAATTTTTCTGCAGAGTTCAGCAACATCGCATATCGAGGTGGCATAAACCCTGTCTTTTACATAACCCCACAAGGAAAAATCAAGGGGGGTTATTTCTGGAGAACGGGATGGCCACCTGGTTGGTCCAATTTGGACTTTGTACACACATAAACGAAGTCGTTTATGAAGCACCTTGTGAACTTTTTGAGACTTCTCTGAAAGGCCTCCATGACACGCTCCACCTTTTCATCAGACACACATCTTTGCCTGAACCTGACTGCCACAAAACACTCCCTGTAGCCAGAAACTTGCCATACCACACCTTTATGGTCTTGTCTGGTGAATCCTTCTCAAAAACATGACTTTAATTTCTTTGAACTGTAATTGGTGATTTAGTTTTCGGAAAACCAAACTACACATTGAGCTCTCTCTTGTGGAGATGCCGTTTTGTGTATTGTTGATTGCAGTGTCGCCACTGATTGCCTACAAGACCTCTGGAATGAAGAAAATAAACTTTCTAAGTTGCTCTACAGAGTTTCGCAAACCCCGTGTTTCTATCTTTCGTAGGTTTCACTTTCTATTTGTTTGTTAATGGGGGAGATTTCATGTGGACACTCATGATCTTACCCACAGTACAATTTACTGGTTTACTAATGCTCTTAATTTGAAAATAATTGTTAAGTTTTGTAAAAACATTCTGTAGATATGTATGTATACATTGCAAACTGTATTTTATTATCCTATACTGTAGTGTGAAATAATTGTTAGTTTGAACTTTAAGTCATTAGAATGGTAGCCCTGTAATATGGGATTTGAATCTCCTATTTCCTTAAAAATTAAGATTAATGTATTGGAAACTTTGTCTTCCAGATCTCAGAAATATTTACTGTCTAGCATGTACACAAATTAATATACTCAGAGCAGTGATTGTAAGTTTTCTTACTTATATAATTTTATTTTGTACTTATGTTTTACAGAATTTTAATTTGTTTAAAACTGTTGCAGTGTTATTCTATTGTAGGTGTTGCTTATTTACTATTAGGGTCTGATTCAGAAGATGTGAACTTCAGATAAAAAAAAGCATATAAACTATCATACTACAAATTACTACATTTGCTTTGCAATATCATGTTTTAACATTAAAAATAATTGATATGTATAAAAAATTATATTGATATAACCAGAAGTGACTGACTAAGATTATAATTTTGAAACCGAATTAATCTATTTTACACCAATAATACATTGTCTTATTGTTTATATCATATACAACAGTAATAGAGACATTCATAGTCTTTTCAAAAAATATTATACTGATCTATGAGTGAAGTAATATATGCCAGCTGGCAGATTTTGTTAATGGCATTTGTATTGTGGAACTTTGGTTGAAAATATGGCGAAACTACAGAAAGAAGGCTTCAGAAGACAATCGTCACAAATAGTACAACGTTATAACAGTAAAACATTTTATAATTACCCAATAAATTAAAATTGTTGTTGAGATAGGTCCCTGAAAGAAGTATGTATTGGTCTTTTGTTTGTTATGGCTGAAAGTTTGTGGTTATGGGAAGAATCAAAACCCCTTATTATATAACTTTGAACATCATGAGGATCTTCTGTTTTGGTACAGTACAAGAGGTACTATTGTATTGATGAAGAAATTGACCAGGAATTTTAAGGGAACCTTGACTTTATAAAAATTGTTTTTATATGATTGTTAGGTTGTTTGCCTCCTGCCAAACAACAATTACAGTGAATGGATTGACTTGGCCCATCCCTTGAAATTGATGATAAATAGCTTTTCATAAAATTATGATTTTCTCATTAGTTACTTGAGCATGGAAAACTAATGTACTTGCACTGTCAGCTTAAGCGCTGTGGTTGCTTTCGTGCATGGCGAAACCAGTGCTGTTTTGGTGTGGTGAAAAGGTATTCTGTGTCCAATGCAGGAATTAAACCCCACCTTGCCAGATCATAATAAAACACTCAAACTCACCGAGCTCGTATGGTTTTCCACATTATTAATTAAAACTTAAAATAATAAGATTATGGTATTTTGTCAGATTAACCCATAAAACCAACTTTTACTTAATAATTCTTCCCTTATTCATTTCATAATTAAACAGCTGCCAATTCTTAATATTAAAGGACATACTTTAGTTCTTTTTGCAGTGTTGTCTCAAGTCTGAAGTGGGAAGGAAGCCTCTTTCTGAAATTATCCCCTATTTAATACCAAATTATTAATGAAGCACAATAGGAATGTGTGCACTTGTTTTACATGACACTTGTCATATCTCCATGTCATTCTGAAGAAAATATATATACACACACACACACGCACGCGCACACACAAATGCGTATTGTTTACAACCCCTGGCAGTTACTTAATTGTTTATGTTTATGTTTACAACAGCAGAAAACAAATCTGTACCTTTTGTAATCCAGCAAGCAAAACTAGAAGTCAGTTTTGATCAGGTGATTGTTTCTGGCTTTGGAGGGATGTTGACTAGTTGTAGACACACGGAACTTCAGTCTCTTGAAACGTTAAACACAGTTGTGACTTAAAATAACTTTATGCCACGTCACATCTGATAGCAGGTCACAGTGGGATGCACTGTTCTTAGCAGTGAAGAGTTTCTTGAGGCAGAACACTAAATTATTCTTCTGTGCACTAGACGTGTATAATGTTCTCATTCTAATAAATAGAACCATAATTGAAAACATTTCCAGTCTTTTATTTGAAATAATATACCAGGTATTTTTGCATCCAAATGAAAGTTTAAAAATTGAATTAAGTTCATAATTTTAATTTAAATCTAGGAGATTCAGCATGAAAGTGGGAATAAATGTTAATTAATTATTTACTAAATTATAATTTTCACATTTTTAGTGCTGTCTCATCTCTGTGTGGCTTTCAGTTATATGAAATAGATTTTGTGGTTTAGCAGTGAATAGTTATTTCATCACGTTTGCTCTTAGTGTAGAAATATGTCAGTTTTGTAAGAACCTACTAATATGTACTTCATTATCAGCAACAGAATGAAAATGCAGCATTTTATTCATGTACACATGGAATTATGCTATCTCAGAAATTCAGTTTGTCTTCAAACATTAATTTCTTACATTCTTCTTTGTGTGAAATAAAAAAAGTTACAGGAATCTGAACATTTTACTGAATTGTTGTGTCCATAATGCTGAGTTGCAGGGTCTGCTACAGCATGAAATGTAATGAAAGATGGATGTGGACAATATCTTCACATTCAGAGACGTTCAGCGCTTAGTTTTAAAAATATATTTATAAAAAATGACAGCAACATTTTCATGTTATTAAATTTATTTAACTTTTTAATTAGGTATTTAACCCTTTGAAGCTGAAGCTATCTAAATAATATTTAATAATCAAGTTCGTACCACAAAGGTAACTCAACAGTTCACCATTTTAAAGACCAACCAGCTAATGCTGTTTAAGGAAATAATTGCTGTTTACGCTGAGAATCGTACTAACTGCAAAAATTACGTAGTCAATTCAGTTAAATTGAAAAATGTTACCTCTAAAATGGTACTGTTGCCATGTATATACAGGATGATTCTTAACAGAATAGTATTTAAAGTACTAGGGGAACTAATCTTCGAAATATCTGTTCAGATTATTGTTTTGGAACTGTGGTAATTTACAGTTGTCATATTTTCTCAGGATGAGTTTGGTGGGATGAATTCAAAATGTGGTAACAAGAACCAAAGGACCTTGTAATACCATGTATATCGTACATCCTTCAGAGCTCATCCTGAATGAAAAAATAAATTACCATGTAACAGATTGGTGGTTATGATTGATGCATTCGCTATGTAGTGGTCTGCATCATCATAGCTTTGAACTGGCACCTTGTTTTCTGAAGTGTCCCCCAAAATTAATCAATTTAATTAAGGATCATACTGCATAATCCATACATGTAATGACATACTCTGTTTCTTTAACATTAAGTTCTTACAATTATGAAATAGAATGTGTATTTTTCACAGTGAAACCACATACGAATATATTCAGAATTAGGGAGATTTATATAAGCTGGAAGTCAGTGTTGGCAGTCTCATAACTTAAAAGTATGTCACTTTGGAAGTATTAGGACAGGAATTTGACATTTTGTCACCCACGAAAAACAACAGATCCTGTTGTTGCTGGCTATCAGGTTCTGTGTTTGTAAGGCTCACATTTCCATCCATATTCAAATAAGATTGTGGACGCACTGATAAAGTTTTGGTATCATTCAGAGGTTCGTTTGAGACGTTTGGTTGTCGGATGGGTGTCAGGTATGCGTTACTTGGTCTTGGTGATTCGTTATGTTTAGACATTTCATTCTGGTATAAATGTTTTTGGTTTTCGATTGAATGTGTCGTTCCTGCAGTGATTAATGTCGTTTCCTTTCCATGGCTTTCTAATAAATGCTGTTCATCCTCTGGAGTCGCTCTCTGGAGCCGTGAGTCTTCACTGGTTGACTCAACTTGGTCAAATCTCTCACCCCCTTGCTGATCCTTGCAACTGCCTTTATGGAACTCGTCATGTTGAGGTTGTGTCAGGTAGTTTACAGAATCAGTCTGCAGGATGTTAAGGTTACCATAGCCGATATTTTCATCATTATTATCTGTACAAACAGAGAGAAATTTCACTTCAGTTCTAAAATGTGATCTTTTCTACTGCTAGGTGATAATTTGTGCTATTGAATCTGTCGCATTTGGTATTTAAATCTGTTAAAAGTAAAGTAAAGCTGTCCCACTATGAGCCATGTAGGCGCTTGGGGGGAGAGAAGGTACAGCTCCTACTCATTCTTGACCTCGGCACTAGGTGGGGTGAGCGGTCAGCATCACTCCCCTGCCGCGCTTTACACCCAGGAAAGGACCCCGGTACCCATTGGCCAGGAGGCTGGGTGGGCCCCAGAGCCGGTCTGGACGCTGGAGATTAGAGGAAAAGTCCTCTGCCCTGTCGGGGATTGAACCCCACTCGTCCAGTCTGTAGTCAGTCACTATACTGACTGAGCTATATTTAAATCTGTTACCAGAAATAATCATACATAGCAATTGGAGTTTGAGATTGTGGTAATTACCCAGTATGTCCCTTGGGTTGGTAAAGTATGTTCTGTTGTGAACAATACGTGGGTTCAGATCCAAGTATTCTACCCCGTCTTCCAGCATGCGTTCAAATGTAGCCGTGAGGTCCTTGAAAGATGGTCGCTCGCTTGCATCTTCATTCCAACAGCTTCTCATCACTCTGTACCTTTTGTTGGAAACATAATATATATTCCATTGTCATATATATTGATAATGGAGAACATTCCTGCGAAGGGACACCATTTCAGAAACTAATAAAATTTCTTGTACAATGTGTACATGAGTTGCTGGTAGTTATTTATAGTTGATCAAGAAGTTCCATGTTTTATAGAACATGGATGTTTGTCACTGTCATCACAAATACATGCCATCAAATCCTATTCTGATCCATTTCACATCCTCACAACCTGAGATATATTTTAATATTATCCTCCTACTTATCTGTAGGTCTTTATTCAGAATCCATATGAAAGTAGGTTATGTTGCCACTGAAATCTGAATACACACGTTTTGAAATAAAATAAAAAATATATTAGAGCAATTTTTTTGGGGGGGGCATTCATTGGATAGTGATAGATGACTAATAATTCCAAACAAAGTAACACAACATTTTTGTGGGTTGAAGTTTTCATCAAAATATTAGCATTGATTAAGAAATGTCTTACAACTGGATGGAGCAGTTTTCAGGCCTGTCCATCCGGTAACCAGCCTTCAGGAGATGGAAGAGATTGTGGACTGCAACACCAGGGTATGGTGATGCTCCCAGGGTTACCAACTCCCACATTAGTACACCAAAGCTCCACACATCTGACTTGCTAGTGTACATGTGGTCTGCCAGTGATTCTAATGCCATCCATTTGACTGGGACTGTAACACAAAATGCAGGATCGATAGTTTTGTGCTGGACGTACGTTCGTATTCTGTTGCATTACAATTCTTGAGTTGATGTATTCCTCTTTTGATACAGAACGCTGACAGGATATTGAACCATGATTTAATCTAATGTTTTTTCTTTGTGGGAAATTTACAATGAAATAAATCTTCATGGGCAAATAAAAGAGTGACATTAAACCTCTTTTTGCCAAGGTATTTGTAATGCCAAATTCTTACGGTAGAAATTTTAAGTAAGAAAATTAAAAATATAAATCTGTATACTGTGAAACAGAATGTGGTATACATTTTAAGAAAACTAATGCGTGAACTTACCACGTCCTTTGCTTCTCTTGAGGTACGCGTCGTCCTCATACACGTCTCTTGTCAGGCCAAAGTCTGAGATCTTGCAGATCCTTCCTGCAGCCAGTAAAACGTTTCTTGCTGCCAAATCCCGGTGAACAAGCTGCGAAAAGGAAGTGTGAGGTTAGAAATTCCTTGTTTGGAAGATGGAGATTAATGAGAGGGTTATATTAAAACCACGTACTCGATGACAGTGGTATTCAACTTGGGGTACGCTTACCCCTGGGGGTTGAAAGTTGAAGAGAAATTATATCTGGGGGTACGTGAACAAAAAAGGTTGAATACCATTGCTCTATGGTATAGTGATAGGTATTACTCTTAGTAGGATCCAGTGATGGGTTTGAATGCTCAGGATGTACGGGCAAAACATTAGTTGACTAGTAAACATACTTTTATTAGTTGAAGTGATTGGATTGTTTTCATTTAAGAATTATCTCCCTTTCATGCAAGTATACTGCAGTGTGGGGGCCGCAGTGGCCGCGCGGTCGCTGGGACCGTGGGTTCGAATCCCACTCAAGCCATGGATGTTTTTCTGTGTTGTGCTGTCC